TATATATATATATATGAATAAGAAAACAATCATCCATATTGTTGGGATATTGTTCAGTCATTATTCTTGTCCGTTGACGAGGTGAAACCTTATACAATAGATCTACGTGTACAGCGTGTTGCTAAATATATACAATCCATGATTTCAGTTGGGATAGTCATTTCTCATCAGGCTCACATGCTAGCATGCAGTCGATTCATACCTTATTTCCAACAGCCTAGTGCCACTTTTCAACTCACGTTACTATGCTCTTACTTTGTCATATCATATTTCAATCTGTCGTTTCTAGACGTGGACACCAAGCTCGTCGCCCATGATACGTACATTGTACGGCAAGCGACGTCGAATGATGTTTTTGTGCGGTCTTATGGCTGAAAACAATTCGTAAATTCATGTTCCTGGTGTATAATCTATCGTATTACCTACTAATTGGGGAGTGTATTACTTTGGTAGGTAGTCGACTACCCTCATCCTCACGCCATGGCCTACCTCGAATTACGTTCATCCATGAACATAAACCCTAAACCCTAAACCCTAAACCATCCGATCTTGGATACAAATATAGTGGTCAAACAGCCGCCATATGAAGTGACGGAAGTGGGGTGGGGCGAGTTCGACATCGTCATAGAGGTGCACTTCCTGAACAAGCTGGAAAAGCCGATTGTCATCTATCATACGCTCAAACTGGTATGTGGTGGTTGGCTTCTCACCACACACAAAGGTGGTATGTCTATGGGTGAAGTTCACTATAGTGTAGGCGTAGCGTCACTCGGTTTGCACCCTGTCAGTTGACAATATTCGGGCGATATCTGCATGTCTGTTGTATATCTAGGCATCGGTGGAGAGGTAATACTCATTAATTGATTTCACCTAAATGAGTATGAGATCAGAACAACTAGAGCTCTGGCAGTGCCCCTTGTCTTTTGGCAGTGACGGAATTTAGAATGTCTGTACCACCGTTGAATTACTCGAATGTCGGTGAACCTTTTGTACCACCGTTGAATTACTCGAATGTCGGTGAACCTTGTCTTTCTATTCGCCATCCCCTGTCCGTCAACTCTGCACCTCGAGAGTCTATTTATATCTTCGTACGAGTAGTCCCATCGGTTTGATTGGTTCACACTAGAATTACATTCGCCCAAACAGCCACATACGAACACAAGCGTCTCAGAGGATAGTAGAGATGACAGTGATAGTGATAATATCACATGCATGAACGAAGGATTAGCAACTCAACGTGCATGTGCGGTTTCATGACAAACGGTGCGTTGCAATGACCCAGTCGCAAGGCGCTCGACAGCTGTACTGATTTTTCCAAAAACATCTCTCAAAGTTGCAAGTTGCAGAAACAGAGGATGTGAAGCTCACATACAAGCGTGTGGGAGGCGATGCATGAGCATGGTGTGCATTGGAACTGTGCACCATGCGTTGCTCGGTGCTCTGCATTAGCTTAGGGATTCACTTTGATATCCCTTCGGATATACTCGAATCTAAACACGAATGGAGGTGGTGCTTTGATTGATACTGACCTTCTCTATCGATTTACATACATCAATACCGTATCCGCTGGATTCGAATCACTATCAGTTTGAAGGGGAAGGGACCATCCGTGTGAATAAGAGAACGATAGCTTATGAACTGTATGATGAATTGGTATGTCGGATGAGAGATTGTAACTCACCTCGAGCCTATGTTTAATTGCCACGATGATAAAACCGTGTACATGCTTTTGTATAATTACGACGATGATAGAACCGTGTACATGCTTTTGTATGATTATGATGATGATGGAACCGTGTACATGCTTTTGTATATTTATGACGATGATAGAACCGTGTACATGCTTTTGTATGATTACGACGATGATGGAACCGTGTACACGCTTTCGTTGTCCATGTAAATTTACTATAACATTTTGATAGTAATGTGCACGCGTGTTTGTTGTCTGTGAATGTCTACTATGCCAAATATACTCTCGCATCACTACCAGCTTTCGGGATCGTCGAGGGTCGTACTAATGCGCAGTCATGATATCCATATTGGCAATCACACGAATGTCTGTATGTACAATACAATGCGTACGTTGCAGATACTTCCTATATATTGCTATCTTTTTGTTTAGCGTCTTGGGACCTTCATCCCTCAATCCATTTGGATGTATTCGAGGTGATATCCTTTCATCGACGTATATGCCTGTAGTTTATGACAATCGACTTAAATTTTCTTGATGCTGACGTTTGCGTTTGCTCTTCTCCAATTAGATTTTCAAGGACCCTCCAAAGCCACTTTTCGAGGCTTTGATGTCCGAGCAGACCCTAAAGAAGCGGCCCTTTTCTCATTCGCAAGATTGTATGTATAACTTTATGAACTTTGTACCGCAGTGTTAAGAGTAGATGCGTTTTGAAATAGCATATATATACCCAGAGTCAAGTTTTTACTGTTTCATTCATTACAAATCAAGGCTGTGAGGTTCTATTGCTTATGCGTGTTTGGAAATAGAGGCTGTGAGGTTCTATTCAAGCTTATGCGTGTTTGGAAATTGCATATTGACATTGTCCTTCGCATCAATGGCTTGACGTTTGGTCGTGACGACCTTCCTCGTCAGTCACCACCGTGATCATTGCAATGTAACCATGTGCATTCTAACTACACATGCATCGTGGATGGTTAGCATATACGTGTGTTGTCAACTAATAGGATTCTATCTGGACGTATACCCATCATAGGGACGCGAGTGGAGAGAGAGCAATTGGCACTGATCGATAGTGCACGCACCAACATAACTAATCAACTGGCCACAATCGCCAACAAACGGCTGAAGATGGAATCGGAAATAGCGCAGATCCACGCCAAGATGCGTGGTGCTGCCAGCACAGGCAAGCTAGCCAAGCCAGCAACACCCGCAGCCTCAAGCACAACCACAGCGTAGGCTGAGTGCAAGGACAGTTCAAACACGAACACGCCGAGTGCTTAGACACACGTGCAGGCATAGGTAGTTTGATGTAAGCGTAGCCACAACCACAGACGCCAGTGATTTATCGACCAGCCAAGCCATCGTGCGAGTGCTCTTGCAGCTGTAAGCTGTCTGATTACGAACACAAACACAGCATATACACAGATACAGTTATTGGTGGGCCAAGTACGAATGCTATACAGTAAGTAGCTCGTACGTATGGGCTTAAATAGTCTGCTAACAAGGATACGCATAGGCACAGGACGAGTACAGACGCAGAGTCACCAGTGCGATACGGTCACAGCCACAGCTGCCACTCACGTTCACGTATAGGAATGCCGTACACGAACACACGCGCACACGCGCAGCCCAAGTACAAGTGCACAAGGCACAGGCTGACGCGGTGGACATGAAGTAGGAGAGATAGGGGGCGGGTCTACTCACACAGTAGTCACACCCTAGCACCACCACGCGTGGCGTCAGACTTACTGCCTACTTTCAGTGTGTTCGTTAGAATTAGAACTCATGGCCTTCTTGTAGTGTGACTATCAACTCAAAGCCACTTTTTGGGGCGCGATCTTGAGCTCATGGCCACATTTTAGTGCGTTATTGCTGAGACAATGCCGCTCGTGTCCGGTCACTGGTATCAACAATTCATGCTCTAATCAGTGCTGGCGAATATTCCGAATCAGTTAAATACAGGTACCCACAGTTACGACAGCAACAACAACTACTATGCGCGTATAGCTGTAGGGAAGAGGAGTCTATATCAAGCACAAATACGGCGCAAGTGTCGGTAGAAAGGAAGACGATTGAAGAATAAACTCGGCTTGTTTGCAAGTCTTGGTAGGATTCGCACTTGAGAAGAGGTCTATTGTTTCTTCTGGTCGTATCTTATTAGCTACTCTCAAACTCTATTTTTAGCAATATCCTTACCACGGTATGTCATGTTAGATGGCTCCTGTATCAAGCACGAGCACAATGGGATATCATGTGCGGACGTCCATAGGCTGCCTGTAGATCTAGGCTGTACTCGGGTCTACAAGCCGACAAGAACACTAGACTGCCAAGTGCATATGTGTATATTGTGTACACAAGTACAAGCATAGCTCAAGCACAAGTGGGATGAAGTACGAGTGTGCCGTAGGGACCGGTAGACTACAAACACCTAGGCCTCAGATCATCCCACCCATGCGCCATCCAGCTCATTGCCACCTATCAGTCAGTGGCCCACAGTCACGACGAGTAGTGTGTTGAAACAGATCAGTGCGACTGCCCTGGGCGTAGTTGACCAGCTAGCGCCAAACATCGGAAGCATATTCATCCGATTTAAGATTGCACTGTACGTCCATAGATATAAACATCTGAAGCATATTCATCCGATTTAAGATTGCACTGTACGTCCTATGGTATAAACATTTGAAGCATATTCATCCGATTTGAGATTGCACTGTACCATCCTACGATATAAACATCTGAAGCATATTCATCCGATTTAAGATTGCACTGTAGTCCTACGATATAAACATCTGAAGCATATTCATCCGATTTAAGATTGCACTGTAGTCCTACGATATAAACATCTGAAGCATATTCATCCGATTTAAGATTGCACTGTACGTCCTATGATATAAACATCTGAAGCATATTCATCCGATTTGAGATTGCACTGTACCATCCTACGATATAAACATCTGAAGCATATTCATCCGATTTAAGATTGCACTGTACGTCCTATGATATAAACATCTGAAGCATATTCATCCGATTTAAGATTGCATTGTATCATCCTATGATATGTTCTTTTCACCTATTGGGGGTCGCTTGGAGAGACTTTTATTTCGAGCGCGCAGCTAAGTGCACTCACTTACGACCCTCGAGGCTGATCCCTCTATGGTCCCAATGGCTACATATACCTGCTTACGAGTAAATCGATATACAATACACTATATGATCCAGCACACAACACATGCACTACGGTGTCACGTGGTTTGTCATAACTGCTTTATACTAACATACAAACATGCCTGTGCTGTGAGAAGTATTCTGCCACATACAATAAACACTGATTAGTACGGTAACCCCATGGATCGGGCGATGTTTCTGAACGTCTCCATAACTTCTCCCTGCTCCATTACTTGGGTTCTCCATGCCCTGCAATGAGAGAAATAGACCCGTCTCAGTACTAATGCCTAACGATGACTACAACTCCGAAGTCAATGTTCAGTGAAATTGGAGACATCCGCACCCATCGACATTCGCGGCATACACGTGATATATGACACAAGCGCATGAGACAGGATATGTCTGACAACCAGCACTGCCAGAGACACAGGTACTTGCGCACGGGCTGAGGGCGATTGAGCCTATCTACACACTCATACAACGGGGGATGCTACATACAAAAACAGTGACGATGCAAGCGAACAGATGTAGGGCATCTTAGAATAAGCAATTGTGCCGCACTTGCAAGGAAAACGGAGATAGGTACGACGGCATAATCAAGCGATCGCTCAATAGATAGACATTCTCACTGCTGATAACCGTTCAAGTAGCTGTTAGGACTTACGTAACACAAATGAATAACCGTTCAAGTAGCTGTTAGGACTTACGCAATACAAATGAATAACCGTTCAAGTAGCTGTTAGGACTTACGCAACACAAATGAATAACCGTTCAAGTAGCTGTTAGGAATTAGGTAACAAGTAGCTGTCAGGACTTACGTAACACAAATGAATAACCGTTCAAGTAGCTGTTAGGACTTACGAAACAAGTAGCTGTTAGGACTTATGTAACAAGTAGCTGTTAGAACTTACGTAACAAGTAGCTGCTAGAACTTACATAACACAAATGAATAACCGTTCAAGTAGCAGTTAGGACTTGCGTAACAAGTAGCTGTTAGGACTTACGTAACACAAATGAATCCGTGGTGCTAAAAAGCGGAGGTAGGGACGTCGACGCAGTTAGGACAACACACAACAGAAACAGTCTCACATTACTGCAAAAACCTCTGACAAGCTGTGGAGGGTTGCCTTACAGACACCATTCAAAACAAGGGACTATAACGTACACTATTCAAAAAAAGGGACTATAACTTACACTATTCAGAACAAGGGACTATAACTTACATTATTCCGAACAAGGGACTATAACTTACACTATTCAGAACAAGGGACTATAACTTACACTATTCAGAACAAGGGACTATAACTTACATTATTCCGAACAAGGGACTATAACTTACACTATTCAGAACAAGGGACTATAACTTACACTATTCAAAACAAGGGACTATAACTTACACTATTCAGAACAAGGGACTATAACTTACACTATTCAGAACAAGGTACTATAACTTACACTATTCAGAACAAGGGACCGATTTTTGACACAGCATCCCACTCACCAGAGCTACTTACCCTTCTGTAAACACCGCTAAAGCAAAACCTTAACTCAGGCAAATTTGCCTTACAGAAACCATTCACAACAAAGGACTATAACTGACACTATTCAAAACAAAGACCAACTTCTGAACCAACGTGCCACTCACCAGAACTCTTTGTCCTCCTTCAGCTGCGCCAGTAGAGTGGGTGTGACCTCCTTCGGTTCAATTTCCATGTCGTTGACCGGCCCCTACAGCAGTCGTATATTCGCCACGCCGTACTGTGGCATGGGGCACGACTTCAGAAACACCGGGTCAGTGAACTTACACCCGGCCGTTACACTCGAGTTATTAATCATAATAGACGGGAGGTGTGAGTCGCCGGGGTGGGTGAACACGTAGCTGCGCTCTGCAGGGGTTAAGTACTTGCTACTAGCCATTAGCAGCACGCGTCTGTCGGTCGCATCCTCGAACGGTGTAAGGTCTACTCAGCCTTTGAGGTCTGCGCCTGCATCCTCGCGAGTCAACCAGCACTGGCCCTCGGCACTAACGTACTCCTGGTGGGGGCTGGTCCACACTCTGAACCCGAACACGGGCACATACTCCACCTCGGGATGGCGTTGCATGAAGGTCAAGCAGTTGGTGTTGCAGGATCGCTCACGGTACAGGTGGTGGTCTGGTTCTCTGTAGCTTCTGTACAGGCGAGCCTGTGTATAGGAATAATACAGGCAGTGGTCGTGTCAGTTTGTGGCGTCCAGAACGATTGACTTGGATGGGCCGCACTATGCCATGAGTAGGGTACCGATACATTCACACACACCAAGCATGACACGGAAACGACACATAGACACACTTTCAAATATTACTGCTATGACGTGAAAAAATGGAACACTACACGTAACTGCCAGGACTTGTATAAGGCGATATACGAAACAGAGCTATAATAGGGATTAGAACAGCTATATGAAAAGCATATATATATATATATATATATGAATATTTACATAGATATACATGTTTGTACATATACATATACATATACATCCATACACACACACACACACACACATACACACACACACTATACATATATATATATACTATATATATATACATACATACATATATATATATTATATATATATATATATATATATTATATATATATACTAACAACACAACAACACACACTA